CAGGAGTTTGGCCTCCCAGTTATGTCACAAAACGGAGCGCAGGGAGTGAGGGAAAGGTAAAACTCATCTGAGCAAAGGCGGCTGCTCGGCTTCGCCTCTGTGGTGGCACAACGTTGGCCTCTTAATTTCCTACTGATTAAACTGTAGGAAAACAAAATCTGCTTCGCCTGGAGCAATTTGGCTTCCGCTCAAGAGCTTTCTCATCAAAATGAAATATCATTTGCTGTGAAACCGTTAGCAGGAGGATAAATGTAGTTATAAAAGCAGCTATTTGTAAAAGCCAAATGGGGAACACTGATCTGCAGCAAAATGCTATTTTTGGAGGGGGGGGGGGGGAAAAAAAATCTCTGCCAGAGCTCTGGAGAGCAATACCTGTAAAGACCAAGTTTCATCAAGACTGTCGATTTGCTGAGTTTTTTTTTTTTTCAGCTGACCCTGTCTGCAGATGGAGCAGGCAGGTGTAGAAGTCCTTTCACAGCTGACACACTTCTTGGCTTGGCTGAAACACGCACTGGCTTGGTGGGAGTGCAGCTGTCGGGATGCCCCATTTTTGCCCCACAGTCTGAAATCATGCCCCAAGCCCTGGCCACCCAAAGGCCACAGCGGCCCGTGCTAGGAGAGTTGGTGTTTTTTGGCTGTACGTTTGGAGGACACGTGTTCCCGGTGCAGTTGGTGACATCTTCTTGGGAACCGCAGTGCAACAACTGGTGTCGTAGCCTCTCGAACACCCACTTACTGTCCTCGACAGGGTCCAGCGCTGGAAAACTAAGTGGCAGCGAAAGGAGCAACCAAGGTCTTATATAATGGTGAGTAAATAGCAGGTTGTTTTAGTCCTTGGAACTAGCCACAAGAGGGAGATGTGATTGGATGAACCAAATCCATATCTTTAATAAGCAGAAATATCAAGGAATTGAACATTAGCTGAGAGGTCATTAGAAGCGCGGGGAGAAATTTCACTGGCAAAGCCTGCAGTTTCGGAGCGTCCAAGTAGCTGAGTTGGATTTAGGAAGTAGCTTTGCAATGGCAAATTGTTCATGTGGTGTGGGTTTTTTTCTTTTCCTAAAATCCCCTTAGACTTAATAAAAAACTGTTTTTTCTTTAAAATTGTCTGCATTTGACCAACACGAATTAGAAGGTTTAAAAAATTCTGAGTGGGGAGGGGGGAAATTTTGACTTCCCAAAACCGCAACAAAAATGAGGAGTGGAATTTCCCTTTCAAGCTGATTTAAAATAAGTTTTTGATCAGTGAACCAAAAAAACAATGATTCAAACAGTACAGCCTTAATTATCTTACCCTTAAGGGCAATCTGATGGAGCGATGGCAAAGCATTTTGGAGCGTGTTACAGCTCTGCTTACCGCAGTCTGTGCTTTAGGTTTGAACAAAATATTTTCCCCCAAAGTTATCCGTCACCTTTCCCCTGTCTGAGAATCACTTCCACTGCAAAAAATAAACCTTTTTTTTTCTCTTCTCGCTTTTCTTCCCCCCCACCTCTCCCAAAAGGAACAAATCCAGACTCTAAAATCAAGAGCTTTGGGGGCGTGAGTTTTCGGGAAGGGACTTGCCAGCCCACCCAGTGATGTGGATAGTCCTTTTAAAACCATCCCTGCTCCTAACGGAGATAAATTCTGGAGAGCCATTTGTAACAAGGGGGAAAACCAGCGCTTGTTCTCCTCTTTGTGCTGCTCCTGTTATGTAAGCCTGAATACAGTATTTGGCTCAGTCCGGTCACTTAGTCCTTGGGGCTTTCAGACCTATTTACACACAAATAGACTAACATCCGTCTGAAAGTCATCTTGGGCATAGAGAAGCGATCCTTTTGCCTCCCGAAAACAACAGCCCCTGCACCGAATAACTGCTCGGCGAACCGAACGCCGGGCTGGTGCTTAGAGTAATCAGCTTAGATCGACTAACACAGTTGTGCAAGAGCAGAAAATACCCAGTCAAGTAAATTACATCATCCAGGGACAAGCTATTCCAAAGCAAGCACACTTTTTAAGCCTGAGTAAAAAAAATCTGTTCAATTGAACATTTACATATATTTACAAGCAGCAGCAGCAGTTCATCCTTTCTTTGTGAAAAAAGAAAAAGGATCTTTGAAGTTTTATCTAATAAAAAAGCACCTGACTAAATTAATTGCTGGCCTAGATCCTGAATCAATTAAAATCCCATTATAATTTTTCTCATATTAGTAGTACCTGGTATGCAGAGCCCCCGGTCTGGAGGGGAGGAGGTCAAGGTGTTATTTACATAGCATTATATACACCAAAATGCCCTGGCTAAAACTGGGGCTGTCTTTGAAATATTGTACTCATTCTGCTGCCAGATCATCTTTGTAACAACCTCCATCGCTTGATGCTCCGTTCAAATCTGTTGCTCTCGCCAGTTTTAAAGACATTGTAAGAGGAAAGAATTAAAGTTCAAGGGGGTGAGGGAATTTAGAGGCCATAACCACAAGTGGATTCCAACTCTTTAGCTCCTGTTGACTTTTTTTTAAACTGTCCTGTTCAGAAACATTTACTGAATGGTTTGTTGTCAAACGTGAGAAGAGAAAAGGGCTGCCGGTGCTGCTCTTGGCTGCGAGCGGCTGCAGATTCCTCATCTTCCTCCTGCCTTGTGCTTTTTTGTGTAGATCTCACTAGCATGAGCGTAGAGCTTTCCAGCTCTGTGGGCAAATTTTCTAGGTTAGTCCCCTGAAAATATTAGCCAAAGGAAGTATTTTGGCTTTAGCAAAGTGCAACCAGAAAGTTTGGCTTTGCAGCAGGTCCTGTGGTGCTCCCTTCGTCGCAGCCAGAGCACGACCGCGTGGTAAGATTGCAGAGCGGAGGGAAGCCCCAGTCCAGAGGGGTTACGTTGCTTAGACCAAAACCCGTTCCAACAGCCTTACACCACTAGCCAATGAAATCCAGCATAATAAAGCCCTGTGCTGCAATGAAGCAGTGGGGTTGTGTAAAAGCAGGTATCCTCAGCTCGTCAGCAGATCTGCTCGATTTGAGCCCTGCATGCAGCCTGGGCTGCTGGATCATGCCTTCGTTTTGCTTTTCCATTTGCAGAAAGCACTACACCACTCCCAGAGCTCTGCTTTGGCTTTCTGAGGTTTTTCTTGAAAGCTCTCCTGCAGCACAGCTTCTTGCTGTGGTTTCAGCCTTAGATTACAGTTTGGTCCCAAACACGCAAGGATGGCACATGTGGAATTCCCATAGGATGGGACAAAAGTATATAATGTGGTTGGACTAAGACCATATTTAAATATGGGGTGTTTTTTTAGTCTAGATTGAACTTTGTCTTGATTGATAGAAAATTATATTTTGGCTCAAATTATTCTTTCTTTCTCTTCTTCTCCCAAACTTATCTGATCAAGTCTCCTTCAGTTTTAAGAGCATCTAGATATTACATTTAAAATTATTTTATTTTGGAATAACTTTTACTTCCTACCTTTCCCTCCCACCCCTTTTCCTCCTCTTTTTCCATCTAGTTCCTTGTGATCTTGGCTCACTTTAGCTTAAACTCATATCACATAAGAACGGCCACATTAGTAGCAAATGAAGGTAAAATCTGTGCAAGTGTAATTGAACCTTCTAGGATTTTATCTGCCTGATTGTGAGCGTTAGCACAAGGATTATTAAACTAATGTGAATCTTAAAATTAGTTATTGGCTTCTGAAACATACGCGCAACATCAGCTGGAGGCTGGGCACATACTTCATAATTATAAGGCTTAATAGTGGCTAGGAGTTGAACTGGGCAGCAATAGTAAGGGCTGTTCATATTGATCACCTTTCCCTTGCCTGTTTTCTCTCCATCTCTTTTTTAGTTCCTTCTTCCTGCCTGTTCATCTGTTTGATCTTGCAAATATTCTCACACATCTACCTTGATGGCAGTGCTGCAGGTAACCACATCGATTTCTGTGACCGTTCCATGTGTAAATATAACCACGGCCTTGAGGGGTGCTGGTTAAAATATAATATGCATATTATTACGTATAGCACATAGAGTTCCTCTGTTCATAAGAATGAGGAAAGTCCTTAATAAAAATTATTATTATTTAGTGACAGTCTTGTCACTGGCATAAGTGTCCCTAGGTAAGTGTATATTAAATGCATATTTTAAATCCTCGGTCGGTTCTCTCTACACTGCAAATGAGCTGATAAATGACTGCAGCCTGTTTAGATTATAATATGAATTGACATACAACAAAATTGTTCAAACTCCATCTGTTTAGGTTACATAACTTGTGATCTGAAGCGATTTTAGAAGCAGGATTTACTACATAAATAGTGCAATTTCCAGTAAGGAGATTAAGGCTTCTTTGCTGGGAAAGGGTGAAATTACCAGAAAAGCTGTCATTGCAATGAATAATACAAATAAATCATGTTCCAAAACACACAGGAAGACAAAATTTATGGCATTGCCTCCCTCCACACCCAGATGCTCCCTCAGCACCTGTCATAGAGAGCAATACCTTGCAACACAGTATCATTTAGGAAATACCTTCAGCTATATTTTCTATATACGTTAGATCATTTGAAAATCAGTGCTGATATTAATGTTTTGCAATTCTGTGTTTCAAATCCTAGTGGCTTTACATAAAGGCCAGACCATGCATCAGAAAGCATAAAATATCTTTCACCAGTGCAAACACGCAGAAGCAGTCTGAGCCGCTACTGGTTCGGTAGTAGACCGCAGCAGTGGGTCACACTGTGCGTGCCTAGGAGAAAAGTTTTCTCCCGGTAGCTGAGAGCAGCGCTGTGTCTGCGCTCTGCGAAAGCATCCAAATTTTGAAGTTTGCCTCTGTCCGGCTGATCTTTTTTTTTTTTTGGTATGAATCAGGAGAAAAACTCCCTATTCAGCCTACTTCTGAAGACCGACAGCTGAATGTTTCTGCAAACAGGCTGTTACCACATGTCACATCCCTCTGAGACGAAAAAAAAAAAAAATCCCATTAAACAGCTGTTTATAGAAAGCATTTATTAAAATAACCAGCAGCGTTTGCTTCCGTGAAGGCGCTATGGCAGCGCTGCTCCGGGAGCAGCAGGGCACAGCGAGCGGCTCCAGGTATCTGTCCCCAGCACAAATTCTCTCTTCTGGAAAGAAAAACAAGCGGTGGGCGTGCAGGAAAGCCTTGTGGCTCGCGAGCCTGGGGAGCCGATTCGCAGGCCCACGTAATCCCTGAGCGGGGCAGCCAGCTTTCCCACGGGGCTATCCCGCTCCCGTCCCCTGTTGCAATTTTTTGTGTGGCTGCTTCTAGCATCGCCTCCATTTCTGCTGCTAATTTAGTTTTTTCTCTGTCACAGCTCTAGCACTCACCTGTTCCGGGACACCACGCCGGCCCCTGGGAAGCCCTCCTGGCTGCGATGGGAGTTTCTCATCTTCTGCCTCTGGGGTAACATTTTGGTGGAGACTTTGCCACGGCTCCTCATCAGCTCCCTTCTTGCTCTCCCTCCCGCTGTTTTCTCCCTGGAAAGCTGAGCAAGTGCGGGAGGTGGTTCACAAGAAACGCTGTGCTGGGAGCTCCCATTTTATCACTTGCACGCTGCTATCCCTCTCCTGAAGCCACTTCATCCCCGAGTCACGTGTTTACGATCCCTGTGCTCTCCTGCCACCTCCATCTTTCTACCGGTCCCCCTCACTGCTCAGGACCTCCAAGGACAGCCCGCCGGGATGCCAAGGGAAAGCCCCTCTGTTCCCACACTCTCCTCTTCTCTTTTCCACCAAAATGATCTGCAACCAAGCAAGGAGAGGCCAGACCTTCACCTTGTTCTCATAAAAGTCTTCTTCACTTTAATATCACTTTTATCTGCTCATTTTACCACAGTGGGGGGGATGGACATGGTCATGCAGATGTGAAGAAGAAACGAAGTTCCAAAGGGGAAACAGCCTGTCTAGAAACTAGTACCCTCAGCAACGTCAGCCAACCTATTTAGACACAAAACATTTTTGAGAAGTGTCTTGCGCTTGCAACTGAGGAACTGCTGCTTATAACCTGCTGTAGCCAAACGTCAGTGAGACTGCTCACTAGACTGGGGATTATTTGTGAAAGGGAGGGATTACAAAACCAGCTCCTTCTTGGTGCTCTTCTTCCTTTTCTTCTGCACCTGCATCTGCTCGGGCTGGCTACAAGGCAGCCTCCTCTCGGCGCTGCTGTGGCACTCGCCGCGGGTGCAGGCTGCGCGCACGGCTGTCCACAGACGTGGTCACACCTGGACCTCCTCATGTGCTACAGGCCATGGTTTCCCATTAAAACACCTGTGCCTGGGCTTCACCAGAACCTCATGCCAAAGCACCCAGGGGAGCTGGCACTGAGTGAAATGGAGATATAGTTTTTCATACCTGGGTCCCAGTTCCTAGGCTTGGAGATAAATTGAAAATCAAAGGGGAAAACACTAACCAGAGCACTAACCCAGGAGATCTGCAATATGGCATTCCCCATATGACAGATTATGAATGTTTCCAGCTGGGCTGGCATCTGAAAGAAATAAGGACAACTTTTGGCCTTGCCAAGTATTAAAGAAAAAGGTCGTCAGTGCCAGAGCTGTCTGGGAGACACGGACACATCCAGCAGGGAAGGGTAACCGCACATAATTGCCCTCAAGAAAATACGGTCATGTGAATACCAGGCTCATTTAACACCACGTGCTCAGCAGAAATTACAGTCTCCCTTGATAAAGGTCAGAATTGTGCTATAGCAGGCCGTGAACTCTGCCGTAGGTTTCGGAGCGAAGAAGGGATGTTCCTGGAGCTGGCAACGTGCCAGCGCGGCAGCAGCATCCCACTGCCCCAGCCAGACTTTGCAGTGCCGGGCGGCTTGCAAGCGATTTTATAGCACAGACTTACTGCAGTATTTAGGCTGTAATTGCTGTTTAGCAGTGAGGCATCTGGGAGGAGTCTCCCAGGCTGGAGAGATTACAGAGGGCCAAAAGAAGAGGAAGAGATGCTAATCAATAAGACTGACTTTCTCTGGTCAGGTGTGTTAGCTAATTCCAGGAAATTACACTTTCCTCATACCCCTCTATGAGACTGCAGGAGCTTGGCCCCGTTCCCAGCACTGCAATGCTGGCTGCATCCAGGGGCAGGAAACGTGCCTGCGTCCAGCATAACCCTCTAGGTGAGCACGCCTCTGTGCAAATTAAGGACTTGCACTGAGATGTGCAGACTTTTGGTTTATTTTGAAAAAGTCTCCTGCTTGTGCTGTTGCAGATGTGATAGGCAGAACTTTGTGGCTATTTCCATGGGCATGATTCCTTCACCATCCGCTGCAGCAGATGCTGCAGGATGCTCACAGATGCTACAGAAACTCTGAGGTCGTGTGGAGCGTTTTCAAAGACATGAGGGCTCTTGGACATGAGATCCTGTGTTTTCCAAAATAAGCAGTGTTTCTTGGTAGCTTTCAACTCATTTAACTCTTTTTCAACCCATCTTTTTAAAAGGAATTTGCTTTACAGGAAAATAAGATAAGGTTATATGATGCAAACTACTTGTCTTTGCTTGATTGCGTTAAAAAAAATGTGAGGGACTTTTTGCTTGTAAAAATCCCTTCCAGGACAATTAGTGGTTATTTCTCAGGTCTATGACTTTGGAAACTTGAGCTCTGTCCCTGAGAATTTCACTGGTGGTATACATCACCTCAGAGAAGTGGGTGGCTGTGTTTCTGAAGAAACTTCCTAGGAGAAGCTGCACAGCTGATGCTTCTCCGAGCACCAGCTTGCACAGAAGTGTGAGAAGCCACACTTCTCGGTGCTCTGCCCGACGCAGAGCTGGGGGCACCTTGTGCCTGCTCTCCCTTGCTCCTTCCTCCTGCGAGGAAGCGAGGCCATAGGTACCGTAAGGGAAGGCTGGCTATAGGGGAGCCTGAGGTTTTGCAGAGGTGTTTCATCCCTCCCAACTCCACCGCTTCTAGGTGTTTTGCTGTTTGCCTGAGCCAGGCTGGGGAGATGGGTGAGGGTTTAGTGCTTCGGACGTGTCAGCCTGAGAGTATCGGGTCAGCTCGGCATCATGTGCGCGAGAGCCAGCATGTGCATTCCCACCCGGGGAATCCATGAGCGAACCACAAAGGCCCTCTAAGAGCTACTGAGACTCTTTAGTTTGTGACTTCCTCGCCCAGTTCATGCTGATAATCTCTCCTGTGCGTCTTGGTACCTAGTGGGTGGATTTTTCTATTGTTGTTTTTCAGTTTAAATTAATTTTAAAACCTGCAAAACTGTTCCTGTTACAACATTAGAATGGATTCCTCCTCCAGAAATCATGTTCTTCTCTGCCAATTAGATATTCTTCTGTTGCTGCTTTGGGGGAGAATGGTTTAATGCTCAGCTGCTCATCTTATCAGCAACCCACGAGCTGCTGTGTGCAGGCCTATGCTTGCTTTCACCTGGAGAAGCTTGCTGGCAGTACTGTTTTCTCTCACTTTCGTGTAGCAGTGCTAATAATAGAGATGAGTGTTATGGATGCTATTGGCATGCTCCTTTTGAAGTTTTTTTATAATGGTAGAAGCCGTAAAATAGTGATGGAACTTAATTGGTTTCTGACCTTGCTGTTCAGCTTTTCAGTGAGGTATTTTGCTCACGATGAACTGGAAGCCTAGTCTCTTGTTTTGCGGTCTGAGCTTTTGGCATTTTAGCTACAAGCATGAATTGGTTTACCAGCTTAGTTCTGGTCTTACTTCCTGCCTCAAGTTCTTGTTAAGTATCTAGACCCGAGTTCAGCGATGCTGGGCAAGCAGTCCTTTTCTTTTTACTGAGTGCTTTTCAAATGCCCAAAAGTGAAAATCACATCCATGAGCAAATGTGTTTTTTCTGCCTCCCAAGACAATAGGAAAAAAACAAACTTGTTTGCGTGTGTCTCTCTCTTTGTCCTACTGGTGCGTGAATAGATATATGTACTAAAGACTTGTATTGAGCAAAAGCTGGAAGCATAAACAATTTTTTATTTGATTCTGAAAATGGTAAGGTCTGTGGTCGCTCTTATCTAGATCCAGTTCCTATGAGACCTTTGTTTCCCACGCTCATCGGTTTTCTCTTATTGGTAAACAGTTTCATGACTTAACATTTGATCTCAGATAGCAAAGGGAGGTTTGATGCACCAACTTTGTCATTATGGTTCTGCATTTTGCTTACTCAGTTTCTTAGTAAACATCTTTTGACATATGAACTCAGGGTTTTCCTGTTCTCTGCATTGCTGTACCTAAAAGCTCCTACCATAACCTGCCAGAACAGCTGAAGTCTTCATAAACAATATAGGAATGCCTCTAGTCCATTCTATGCTTTAACTAGTTTTTCTTTAATTTTCTCACCTACCAAAGTGCACCAGCCCTCAGCGCTGGTGGCCCATGTGTCACCTGCCTGTGCATCACCTTTCCTGAACTTCATAGTGTCTCCAGCTAAAGTCCTTGGGTACAAAGAGTTTGAACCAAGGACCAGCTGGAAGCAAGCAAAGGGGAATTTGGTCTCTGCTGTTGCCGGCTGGAGGCGGATAGCCCTCGGGACAAGACACCAGGCAGGGTGCTCAGCCTGCTGCTTTGTGGTCGGATGTTCTACTGGACGTTCATTCCTGCCCCTCCTCCGTTCTCCCGTGGTCTTTTTCTTCCGTAACTGATTTATTGCTGTTCTACTGCAGCACTGGAAAGTACCTATAATGCCATTAACAAAGGGGGAACTCGGCCTTTCTACCCAAGGCCCAGATCCACAGACTACTTATGCACCTAAGTCCAACTGATTTTTATCTCATACGCCTGAATATATTTGTGGATCTGGACCTAAGTGTTCAGTTTGTGGTCATGCAGGAAGTCTATGGTAAGTAGAGAAGTGAAAAAATATCCCAGGCTAAAGCTCTGACTACTCAGCCCTCTTTCCCTTCATTAGGATTTTTTTTTGTGGCCAGGCAGAGACCTCCATTTGCTGTAAACAGCAGCAGAGTTTTGCTTCTATATTTTGATATTTAGTACTAAAATAAAACCTGTACTGCCGCTGTATATGATGGCTATTGATTATCGTCTCACAGTGTGGAGAGCTCATTTCAGTTGGCACAGCCGTGGCTTAGAGCCAGTACTGCAACTGATCATTTAATTAACTGGAAGAAAATAAAAGAAACTGTAATCTGCTGTGTCTCAGCCCCATTGTTATCAAGCTGGCAAAGCGCTTAGTTCTGCCGAGAGCAACACTCTGCTCCTTGACCCTGTGATTTAGAAGCACTGGTTTATTCACCCCTCTTCGTCTCCCCACCTGCCTTTGGGCAAGGCCGGGAGCAGTGATACCTGATCCCTCCGCCAGCCACCCTGGTTTTGCAGGGCTGTGGGGGTCCAGGCTCGGGGTACCCGACACCTCCCGCAGCTGGCCGGACCAGCCCAATTCACTGCTCACCAGCCCAGTGAAGGCTGTAATTCTAGCTTCGTAGCTGGAAAAACTGAAGCCGGCAGAGAAGTGGATTTAAGTAAGACTAGTTAAAAAAACAAAAATCATTTCTTAAGGGCTGAGTTTAGGATTTGGAAGCTCATGAGTTCACCTAAATACGAGCTTTTCCTTGAAGGGATCACTACAGTGATTTTCATTTTGCTACTTCAAATAAAAATAATATGAGAACAGCGTGTTTGAGATAGAAATTACCGGTCCTGAAAATATGGCGATCTCTTAAAGCTTTGACTTAAAACCTGCAAGCGACTTGAGTGGTCTGTGAACAGAGAGAGAAAAAAAAAAGATGTAAGAAGTCATTGTTTCAATGATTGTGTTGCCATATCAAGAGAAGAAAGACAGCTGCTTCTAACTTGTCTTTGCATGCTTAAGTAATATATTAATTACCTCATTCCCCCATAAATGCTTACAGTCCTCCAAAAGGCATGTTGTAACAGACTTACTCATTAAAGCTTGCGCTGCATTTTCTGATGTGTTGTGGGAAAACAAACAAACAAACAAACAAAACCTCAAGTCCTTTGTGTTTTAGCTAGATCCAAGTTGGGGAAATGTTAAGTAGAAGCATTGTATCTTTGGAAAGAGAATTGTAATGCCAAAACAGGAAGAAAATAGACTTTGAAACAGTTCTCAATGTTTGATCAGGTGAAGTAGTTTGGTCCCTTTGCATTTGAATTACAAATAGAGCCCATTCATTTTCACTTTTCTACTTATTTCAGAGTGGTTTTTTGGTTCACATGAGAACCTTGTGGCCCAGGCTGTCAAACTAACCAAGGCCTTGGCAGGAGGGAGGGAAAAGATCAAAAAAAAAAAAAGGGGGGGGGCGAGAGGAAACACTTTTA